GGGTTTAGTTTTGAGTGTTTAGGGTGTTTTAGGTGTCAAAACATTTTTTAGGGTTTAGAATTTTAAGATATAGGCTTTATAAATCTATAATTATTGGCATTTTTGTAAATGGACACTCCTAAGTGGCATTCTTGCAAATGTGCACACAAAAATGGCATTTTTGTAATTGTCCCAAAAAAAAAATCATTCTATTGTTTATGGAATTTTGATATGTGCAGACTGCAGAATTATTTGATAACTAGGTGACTGTGTGGGTATAAGATTTTTTAATAAAAATAAGTTAATTTATTATTTAATAACTGGATATTATTAATTACAAAAATATACACACAATTGTTTATTTGAAAATTTTGATGCATGTAAAAAATTAATATGTCTGAAATTATATTTTAATATTTTGAATGTTATCTTGAAAATTAAGATTTTTTAGTTCTAAGTAGAAGTTAAATTTCTAAGTGCCATAGTAAAAAATTGAATAATGTTCCAATATATGATCTCAAAAGGTACATACACTACAACTACAAAAAAAAGCTTTAATTTAAGCTTAAATAACAGAAGTTTTAATCGAATAGTCCCTTCTCTCGTAGTAAAGCTTCCATGCCTCGTTTCCCATACACCAAAGCCCCATCAAACGTAGCAAAAGTCATGTACACAAGTAAAGACCCGACCCGATCTGAGGACTCTTAACCAAATCAGTAGATGGGCATTGGTTCGGTTGAGCAAACGGTATCCGGTAAGTTTTCAAATGTTTCCATGACATAACCAAAGACTCACCGAACCAACATTATTTGACATGGCTACACCGTGAATGATCAAAGTGTTTCTCTTACAAAACATTATCTGATTAACAGTATAATTGTGAAAAAATAAAGCATTGAAAAATTGAAAATCAAGCATAATTGGATAGAAAAATAATATAATTATTAAATCGTTATACGAATAACTAACCTCTTTATCTACTAATACCATGTAGTTTTTTGTGAACTTAAAGGATTTCCACAAGACAATGATTTGTTTTGGTATGATCATTATGATAGTAGTTGAGAAAATAAGGAGCGAGTTCTTGATGTATGAATTATTTTATAGATCAATTATATATATAGAGAAAGTTAGAAAGTGTAGATTATTTTGTGATTT